CCGCCATTTTGACCGCCCGCCCCTTCCCCTAGGGCTGTGATTACAGCGACACCCGCCCTCAAGCCCCATGGCCCAGCCCAACCCGCCACCCCAGAGCCGTCCGGTTACCTCGGTTTCTCCCCACTTCTGTCCGCCGAAGGGCTTTCCCGAGGCCTCGGAGGCGATGTTAGAGGGGGGTCGGAACGTACCGGGGTCCCCGGACCGGGCTGGGGGTGGGGTGGGGGTGGGGGTCGGCCAGGCGGTGGTTGTTGTTGACTCGCGTTGCTGGGTTGCTTGGTCGCCACGACTACCGTGGCTATGGCGCCTCCGTTTCCCTCACCGGGGCAACTGTTGCTACCCACCCTACTTACGTCACTCGCTAGGCGGGGCCCCGAGTGATTGGCGGCACCCTGAGCGGTGATTGGATGGCGCCGGGCCCTGCCACGAGGCTATTGGCCTAAAGGCACGCTTTTCAACACCCTCTCGAATTTCCCGGAGTTCTGATTCATCAGTATGGGTGTCGATCAAAGGAAACTGAGCCCTCAAAGGCAGCGGAGCTCGTCACTCCGCAAGGAAGCAGCGGGGTAAGAATAAAGGGGTGGGACCTGAAAGGTCGGCATTGGCTTGTGACGATGAACTTGGCCTTCTGGTTGGATCAAAGGATGTCAATCTACCTCAAAGATTTGCCGCGCTCTGGCAGGAGGCCGTGCGCAGGCGGGACACGCGGGCTTTGCTGGGAGTTGTAGTTCGTCTCCACGTATTTTTAAAGTCCCTTACCGGAAAAAAAAAAAAAAAAAGAAAAGCTCGAGGTAGGAAAAAATCTCTTCCTTCAGACGTCTCCTCCCCGTGGGCCAGTTTCTGTCTTGGCTCGCTGACGTCACGGGAAGAATGCGGTGACGTCCTCTACCCCCTGTGATGACAGCGGAGGGGCTGAGCTCGGGGTTCGATGACATCACCCCCGAGCTTGCCCGCCCCGCCCCCGACGCTCCTCCAGGACTGCTGCGTGGCCTTGCGGAGTTGTAGTGGGTTCGATTCCCGGTCCTAGCTAAGGAGGCCCTCCCACTCCCAGGCTAAAAGCGAAGATGTCGCACGATCTCCTAACTCGACTTCACCCCCGGCCTCACTGTGCCGGTGACTTTTCCCAGGCGACCTTTCCCAAGCGACTGCCCAGGTGACCTCTGCTATCTCAGTCCTGCAGGCGGCACAGGCCACTTAGGAAAGGTCTCCCGCGGGCGGGGGACTTAATTAACGCTGAGCGCCAGAGCGATAAGCAAAGGTCAGCAGCGCCATTCCTGGAGGGGTTTCTCCCGGCCACCCGAGCCACGGCTGCCCACGCACCCCTCCTCCTGCCTCAGTTTCCCCTAGCGGGAGGTGCCGAGGGGTGGAGAAGAGACAGAAAGAAGGCGTGGGGCTAAGGTGAGGATCAGGGATAAAAATTCAAGGCATTAAGAGAAGTAATATTCTAATTTTTTTTTAATTTGTTAAAAAAAACACCTGATGAACAAAATAGCAAATTTTAAAGACAGGACTCCCTAGGGTACGTGTCTGACAAGTCTCTCTGGTACAGGCTACCATCCTGCCATACATTTTTGATAATTTGTCATCATGGGTTTTTCCATTCATTTGACTTCAAAGGAAATTACAGAAAAACATCTTCATGTTTTGGGTGCCCTCTTATATCTTGAACCCTAGTCCTGGCCAGCACAGAGGAAGGAGGGAAAAAGAACTCAGCCGGTTCCTTTGTAGAACTGTTTGCTGGGTGGAAGGAACAGCCCAGTTCGAATCCCACTCTGTTGTGTGACATTGAGAATGCATGTCCACCTCTCTGAGCCTCTGCCCTCATTTCACCAACATCAACTTCCCAGAAGTAGGCCCCAGCCTGTCATCCTGAAGAAAGCAGACAAGCTCCTTGTCTTTGCCTCTTAGCAGGGGCCAGAATGAAAAACCAAACGTGCTGCCATCGAGTCAGTCCTGGCTCACAGAGCCCTGAGAGGGCAGAGTGGAACCCTGGTGGCACAGTGGTTATGTGTTTGGCTCACCACAAGGTCAGCCATTTGAAACCACCAGCTGCTCCAAGGGAGAAAGACTGGGGCGTTCTATTCTTGTAAGCCTTTACAGTCCCAGAAGCGCCCCAAACCCGTTCTGCTCTGCCCTATAGAGCTCACTCTGAGTTGGCATCGACTTATGGCGGTGTGTTTGGTTTTGTTGTTCGTGGTGGTTTTTTTTAAAATCAATTTATTGGGGCTCATACAATTCATCACAATACATAGATCAATTGTGTAAAGCACATCTGTACATTTGTTGCCCTCATTATTCCCAAAATTCGCTTTCCTCTTGGGTTCCCGGAATCAGCTCATTTTCCTTTTTTTCCCCCCCCCCTCCCTTCCTCCTCCCCTCTCCCCCATGCACCCTTGATAATTTATAAATTATTATTGTATCTTATATTACACTGCCCGGTGTCTCCCTTCACCCACCCATCTGCTGCCCGTCCCCCAGAGAGGAGGTTATATGTAGCTCCCTGTGATCAATTCCCCCTTTCTACACCCCCTTTCCCTCCTGGTATCGCCACTGTCACCCCCGGTCCTGAGAGGTTTATCTGTCCTAGATTCCCTACGTTTCCAATTCCCATCTGTACCACTGTGCATCATCTGGTCTAACCAGGTCTGCAAGGCAGAATTGGGGTCCTGGTAGTTGGGGGGAGGAAGCGTTTAAGAACTACAGGAAGGTTGTGAGTTTCATTATTGCTATACCGTACCCTAAGTGACTCATCTCCCCACTATCCCTCTGCAAGGTATGTCCAGTTGTCTAGAGATGGGCATTGGGTCTCCATCACGCGCCACTGTTGTTGTTGTTTAATAGGGCAGAGTGGAATTGCCCGCGTGGGTTTCTGTGACTGTAAATCTTTACAGGAGCCAACATCTTCATCTTTCTCTCGGGGCAGCTGGTAGGGTGGGATCTCCAACCTTGTGATGAGCGTCCCAGTGTGTAACTCACTAGGCCAACAGGACTCGTTTCTAATAGGGAGACACACAAATAGACCCCAAACTCACCACCCTGGTGAAGGCTGTGAAAGAGTTTTGGTGGCATGGTGGTTACTTGTGGGGCTGCTAACTGCAAGGTCAAGGTCAGCAGCCAGAAATCACCAGCCGCTCTGCAGACGAAACTTCAGTGTCCAACACACACACACACACACACACACACACACACACACACACATCATTCCTGGGGACACTGGAATGAAGCGTGATCTTGCCTACCCGGCAGTCACGCATCGACCCAAGAAGAAGGCCAGATAGAAGGAAGGAGAGAGGTATCACCATTTTGCAAAGGCCAATGAAGTCACCGGTTCAGACAAGGATCATCCACGGGGGAGAAGAGTGTGACCTTCCAGAGGGGCTTTGTTTACTCTGGTCAAGAGTTACAGTCATAGAAACTAACAGGGGCAAAACAGTTCTACCCTGTCCTGTGGATCAGCATTGACTGGATGACCTCAGGTTGAGTTTAAGGGCTATGAGAGCAGTAACGGGGAGGGGGGTGGGGGCATGCTTTCCAATGCCCAGTGATAGATAAAAGCAAGCCACACAAAGGTAGAAGGGACCCAGAGGCAAAGGGCGGAGCCTGCAGAGGAAGAGGCCTACTGCAGAATAAGGGAAAGGAAGCTGCTAGGAGGTGGTCAGACAGGCAGCGGATGTCAGACAATCCCACAGAAATCCTCACAGCGAGGGTGTGTGTGTGTTGGGGGTGGGGGTAGGGGGGACACCAGACCCTCGTTTGACAACTTAGCAAACCAGAGGCTCAAAGGGCGGAAGTAGCTGCTCACCAGCACAAAGCTTGATGCAGCAGAGCCAAGGCAGTGTGCCTCCCTTCTGAGACTTTCTACTGTGTTCAGCTTCCCCTGGGTGTGACCCTGGCTGGCAGAGGGGAAGCAGCAACAGTCCTTGCCTACCTGGAAATGCCACCTGAACCCCAACCCATGACACACCTCTCCCACACACCTCAAGAAGCAAGGAGCCTTCAGAGGAGACTCCCATGAATGCATCCCAGCTCGGTCCTGCAGCCTCATCTGTGACATGGGGGTGGGGCAGGTCATCATCAGGGCCAAGATCTAGAAGCCAGCCCTCCGTCTACTTCCCATCCATCACCCACGTCCCAGAAGCCCCTGGACCCCAAGATGGGCATCACCATGGCCAGAGATGATGTCTTCAATCAAACGTGTTGTTGTAGAACTTAGGGAGGGGAGGGGAGGCGAGGAGAGAGGTCTTTCCATTTAGATCTGGGTGCTGGTTGTATGACTCTATGGGTGTATAAATCCACCCGATTGCTAACTCCAGATCTGTGTTCTTAGAATATGTTAGACTTAAATGTTCAACACACGCACACACACACACACACACACACACATCATTCCTGGGGACACGAATGAAGCATGATCTGGCCTTCCCGGCAGTCACGCATCGGCCCAAGAAGAAGGCCAGATAGAAGGAAGGAGAGAGGTATCACCATTTTGCAAAGGCCAATGAAGTCACCGGTTCAGACAAGGATCATCCACAGGGGAGAAGAGTGTGACCTTCCAGAGGGGCTTGCAGCATGTGGAGCACTGACACGTCACCCTGGAGGCGTTAGCGAGCTGCAGCTCAGTATCACAGCTGAAGGTTAAGGGGGCGTGGTGGCCTGGGATGTGATGCAAAAGGAAACTCACAGCTTCCTACTGGGATACAATCTTGCCAGCACACTAACCCTGACCCTCAGTGAGTCTCCAGGCCTAATAGCCCGGTTAGAGGCAACGGAAGTGGGGTCAGAGAACAGGTATCAATCGATGACAGCAACAGGAAGTAATGGATAGATAGATCCCAAAGTTGTCCCGACCTCGTCAACAAGTTGTTCTTAGATGCCATCTGAGATAGTTTATTGTGCCAACCTGGCCGATAAACACAAGTGGGATTAACTGAAGGGCAGAGAGATAAAT